ATATGAGTTCTACATCCATTTTATATGAGTGTTTATATTAAACTTCAAAATTAGTTCTGGTGGAATCCAGAACATGTGTCGGGAACTTCTAAAAGCAACTTCTTTTTTCCTCCAAATCATGACAACATTTGGCCAGGTTAGCAATTGCTGCAATGAGAACAGCARCTTCTGGGGACTGGTGGGTGCCCTGCAGCGAATGTGCACAGGCAGAAGCAACTGGCTGTGGGATGACGTTTAGTTCTTCTTGGCTTTCTTCAGATAGCGAGCCCTCAGGGACTTGTTGAGACCCATGGACATTTTAAGATAAATCCAAGAAGGCAGGATGGAGTTTATTGAGCCCTAGAGAAAGAAATGGGGGAGATATGTAATTATAGCATACAATCTGGGCTAATTGAAGCCGATGACCTGATGTTACTAAATTTTAAGTATTTTACTTACAGGTAGATTTTAAAGTTCTTGGGTGTACGTTTAAAATAATGCACAGATGCCCTGTTAGATTAACAATATATACTATTTTGTGTCACTGTTTTGTGACTCAATGAGAAAGAAAAACCCCAAACCAGAAAGTACTGATGTGAGACTTAAAAATCAACATACCATAAGAGAATGGATCAGGTATCCATTGGTTCGGGACTGCAAGCCTACTGTTTTAATTGCAGATTTCACAAATGTCTCTGAAGAGGGCTTGTCCCAAGTTGGCTTTCGGATTTTAGCCAGTTTTGTAGCTACGTAGAATGGCAGGACACTCTAGAAAGACAAAACATGTCACTGATCAGAAGCCCACAAACTCAAAACTGACGTGATGCTTGACTGACAGCTGTAGAGAAAGAAGAGAAGCAGCCATCTAAACACAGCCTGAGAGAACACATGAAGCATAAAACAAACTGTAGTAAGTCAATCTATGAATAAAACAGAATGAGACTGAGGAAAATATTAAAAAGAAATGGAAACACACTGTCTGGAACCTTTAAAAGAAAGGCATTGAGGCTGGGGTTGTGGCTCAGCGATAGAGCACTCGCCTAATGTTGTGAGGCACTGGGTTCGATCCTCAGCACCACATAAAAATAAATAAATAAATAATAAAGTCATTGTGTCTCTCCAACTAAAGAAAAATATTTTTTAAAAAAAGAAAGAAAAAGAAGGTATTGATAGCAATCCAGAGAGCRGAGACTGAGGGAGAGGATGACCTGACTGAATGGAACACTGGTGTGCAGAACCGGTAAGTAAGAATTTTGACACTGTATCCTTCTAAAGAGATGGTACTCATTTCCCCCATAATTTATTATGAATTAAGCTTGCTCTATAAACTTTAGTCCTACAACAGATATTTCATTTTCTTAGCCTTAAACTATCACTTTTCTTTCCTAATTTCTTAGCATTCTGATTCTGAGTTTTATAAGCTTTGCTAGTGAGAGGATAGGACTACTTCTTTCTAACTTTTTTTTTTTTTTTGGGGGGGGGGGGGGGGGGGGGGGGGGGGGGGATGAGGTGGTTGGAAAGACTGTATAAACAATGTGTAAACTGCTTGAGCAACAAAGACACCTGACAGGACAGATAGGGTTTGACAAAACTGAATGTGAGCTTTTAGAGGAATTTTATGAATGTCATTTATTGCTTATGCTTGGTACATTTTGGATGTGATTCAACATAGAATCCCATAACAGGAAACCCTATTACAACGAGTCCTGAGTTGTGACAAAAAGAGGTTTCTTCTGTAATTTGAAATAACATGGGCATTGCAGTTCACCAAAGGTGAACGTATTCTGTCCAACTTGTGTGAAAGGAGAGGGTATAAATGGTATAAATCACCACGAGGCTTCTGTGAAAGAGGAGGATCCGTTCCAACAGGTGGTGGTCAAAATCAAAACTTCCACATTAGGAATGTAATTAAGGTCTGTTCCATTATGGGTTTCCTTCTTGCAGAGATCTGGAAGGAGTGGTTCCCTGTCCCTTTGGCACTATGTATATATGCAGGCTTTGTCATTTTGTATTTTTCCCACCCCCAAGTATAAGTCAAAGAATACAGCTCACCACTCTTGATATGTAACCTGAAACTTCAACCCAACAGAGTCTAGAACCCCAGGACTGGCCACTGTCACTCTCCCTCTTTCTCTTTCTTACCCCTGAAGCCACAAACCTACACCAAGTAAACTAATTTCACTAAGCACATGAGTATCTGATCCAACTTAAAATGTTTGACAATTTGGGTTTTTATGGAAATATCACTATCCATTTACCCTTCACTTAAGGAGTAAGTTTTTTGTTTTTGGTCAAAAAAAGACTTTGATTTCAAAACCAAAGTTTTGTTGAGAGGATATAAACACAGCCCAAAGAGTTATCACTGACTGACACCAAGTATAAAATGTGGAGTTCAATGGGTAAGTCAAGTTTGTTCACCAAGCAAAGCTGAGCACCCAAAAACCCCAGAAAATATGTTTATACTCTGATCTCAAATAATGAAGGAACATAAGCAAACCTTTTCTCATCTCTGTGTCTCTGCTTTACTGGTTATAAAAAAAAAAAAAAAAGTGAGGATTTGAAAAAACATTCCCACATATAGATCAAACCTGCTAAGATTCTGTTAAATTCTGAGCCTCTTGAGATGCAGATGGTCTGGTAATTATACTTTTCAATTGCATTATAATTTCTGGTTCCTTTCTTCCATCCACCCTTCCTTCCTCTCCCCTTTAATATGCATATGGCATAAACTGGATTCTTGATCTTGTAAGAAAATTACACTGCATTGCCTGACTGAACCACTTGATGGTGCCACAAGTTAACTCATCACTCAGCTAAACTGTCGTAAGAGTCTAGAAAAGACCCTGGCTCTGGGGGGAGGGGACAAGAGATGCACACAGGAATTCCAAGTCCAATTGTTTTCCCAACTAAGAAATGCAAAATTCTCTTATGTAAAGAGTATTTATTTACTTCCATAAGGGTTTAAAATCAAGGTGGTTGACATGATGCTTTTGCGCTAAGTCCTAAACAAAGTGGAGGCGCCTACCATATAAACAAATAGGGAGACATGAAAGAACATGATATTCTCAGGGAACTAAGAAGTAGGTAATAAAGTTCAAACACTGGCAATGTGTGAAGGAGGCGAAACAGCAGTGAAAAAAAAAAAAAAACTAAAACTACATCCAATCACTGGATGGTATCAAGTTCTAGAACACACCCTCCTCATTTGCCACTGTACTGTCAATGCTTAGAACAGCACCTGGTAYACAGTAGGGGCACAATCAATACCTACTGAAAGAACTTGTCAAAAAACCCATTTCATATGGATAGCACTGAAGAGTAGTAGTATTTAGGGCCCTTTCTACCGCTATGGTCCATAAGATTATTACACCATAAAGTTGATAATGAGCRTTTACACCAAAATTTTAAATACTGTGAAGATTAAGCCAGATGATCTATCTAAACAAAGGCAAAGAAGATTTTGAACTCAAAATCTTCCTGCCTCATCCTCCTGAGCTGCTGGGATTAGTGCACCACTGCACCTGACTCCATTTTTGTCCTTGCTCAGGAAAACATCATGGGAAACAGGTCAAGAAGATACACATWCTTTTATGGGAAGTGTTCTGGGCAGAAAAATTTTGAAGTTGTTTAAGCTCAACAGGTTGCTATACAAATTTTGCCRGTTCAGAAACAACCTGACCTTGACAGCAATAGATGCGGGCAAGTATCCTGATTTCCCAAATTTAGAATCTTAAACTGAAAATAACTGGTTAGGTCATAAAGCAAAAGCTGTTAATGGCCTGTAATCCCAGTGGCTCAGGAGGCTGAGGCAGGAGGATCGAGTTCAAAGCCAGTCTCAGCAACAGCAAGGTGCCAAGCAACTCAGTGAGACCCTATCTAAATGAAATACAAAATAGGGCTGGGGATGTGGCTCAGTGGTTGAGTGCCCCTAAGTTCAATCCCTGGTACCCACCCCCCCAAAAAATCATTTATTTATTTATCTATCTATCTATCTATCCCTGGAACAACTTGGTTATCCCTTCCCCCGAATCAAGTAGAATGCTTTGGTATCTGGTCTTTACAGAACAGTTGAGGGGTCTTGGTTCAGAGCAGGAAAGCTACTACCATTTAATGCCATGGAGCAGCGGTAAAGAGGATGCTCAAAGCTGCACGGCAGACACTCAAGAGCCAAATACGGAATTCTGGGACTTCCCACAGAGCATGTTTCATGTGCAGTCAACTGTGTACTAAATACACCTTCTCATATTTATAAATGATCACAGAACAGTTCTTGGCAAGGGTCTGGGATAACATGGACAAGAGGACTCCAGGCCTCAGTCTATTTGCACAATATGGGATTCTAGATTTGGGGTCTAATTTGCTGTTTCTGGGAATTAAATTCACCAGTGTGGCTAGCACATATTCCTAAGGCACAGGTTAGGCTCCTGTGAGATATATCAGGGGCACCTCACTTCCTTGAATTTGTGTATTCATCTTCTATTTCTGAAATCTCCACTCGCAGACAATGAAATCAGCTTTCCTTACAAAGGGGACCCTGATTATCTTATTGGTAGAAAACCTTAAATAGCCTACAAAATGTTGGGAAAAAGGAATTGTTCTGAGGGTGCAGAGAGTTCTGGCTACATGGCAATAAAAAATAGGTACACATTTTGGCATTTGAGCTCAAAATGAAGGAATTCAACCTATATGCTTTGCACAAAGAAAACCCTTGACCAATGCTGGCTAATAATTCTACAAGAGACCTGTCTCCAAACGTGGAATTTATATGTCCACATACAAAGAATGAAAGGAAAAATGGTGTAATTGTAAAACAGGCATTCATTTAACAATACTGATTTCCTGAGCACATAGAACGATGTTTAGGCACTAGGAACATAAATGTGCACAAAACAGTCCCTAATCTTACAGAGCTTATGTTTAGTAGGGGGACACTGGTATAGGATATAGGTAGTGGAGGCTGTTTCTGCAGTTAGATAAATCAACAAAGGCCTCTCCCATGTGGTGACACATAAGCAAAGATCTGAAAGAAGGGAGGGAAGCTAGCCAAAAGCCTTTTAGACTGAGGGGGAACAGCTAGTGCAAAGGCCCTGAGGTGAGTGTGTGCTCAGAGCATTTCAGGAACTGCAAGGAGAGCAGAGATGTAGTGGGAGGGTAGGCTGTAAGATAATGTGGAAGTTTGAAATGAGAACACTGTAGGTGATAAAAACTCATGGTTTTACTCTGAAAGAGATGAGAAGCCATGGAAGACTGTGTTTTCTGATTACTCTGGCTGCTGTGAGCAGACTGCAGGGGCTTCAGGCAAGCATGAGGACAGGGACAGGGAGGCCAGACTGGGAGCATCCTGCACCAGCATCCTGGGTAAGATAGTGGCTCAGGTCAGAGCGGGAGCAGTGGAGGTCATGAGAAGTGGTCAGAAGGTGGGTATGTTTCAAGGATAAACTAAAGCCGTAGGGCTTCCTTATGGGTTGAACTTGGGAGGTGAGAGAAAGAGGCAGTGGAGTAGCGRAGGAGGTGGCTGGGGGCGGGGATCAGCATTAGATGAAATCAGACTGACTTGGATTTAAATTCCATCTTGACCACTTAAAGTATTTGGCTGAATCTTCACATCCTGAAAGAGGTGCAAGAATATCATTTTCCACAGAGAATATCTGACTGCTGGGGTAACTATCTGGTTATCTTCGCTCTGGACACAAGAGTTAGTTAGTGGTTTGGAGGGACTGAGTAGGTTAACAGAGCTTGTGGTACAACACTGTCATAAAAGGCCAAGA